TTATTCACTATTTTCTTCCTCAGCCTCTCTTTTACCCTATCCCTGTTACCTTATCCTCCCCCATTTTACCCACCCCTCCAAGAGTGCCCCCATACCCTCCCCCCACCCCCAGTCTCAATTCACACACCCCTCCAAAAGTCCCCAACCTTTTTAAATCTCAATTCACACACCCCTCAAAAGTCCCTCCTTCACCCTGTCCCCCAGTTTTCTTACCTCTCTATGTGTTCAGAAGATTTCTACACCCTTCCAGATATACACATTGTTTCCTAGGACATGAACCCAGCTCTTCTGATTTTGAGTATAATCAATCCTCTTTCCACTATTCTAATTCTTTTCAAGTTTTATTTCTTCCCAGATCTGCAGTGGGATTCAGTAGGGCAGAGATGAAGTTGGGCAAATGGCAAAGATTGTGGAAGAGGCTGCACAAGAGAGAATTATTAGTACAATCTTTTAACATGGTTTGCTTTTTATTCCTGGATACACCTGAGGACTTTATATCTACTTTTCCTATTCAAGTAAGAAGGTACTTAGTTCCCATCTCAGAAGAGGGGACATAAGAATTCTAGTCTACTTTTTATCTCAGAGCTCTATGTGACTTCTCTCCTCTGTATTTGCTGTCTCCTGTGCCTGGGGTGCATGAGATACCTTCTTCCCCTTCACCAATTCAATTCCTATCCATCCTTTCAAGTCCAGCTCATATGCCCTTTCTGTTTTGGGTAATAACTAGTTCCTTCAGACCTCACAAAGCATTTCATCCTGTGACTTTTTAATACATCTATGTAATGTATTTTATAACAATTAAAACCATCTGTGTGATAGCTAGCTTGTGGCACAGTGGATAGAGCTCTGGGCCTAGAGTCAGGAAGACCTGGGCTCAAATCTAACCTCAGATTATTACTGGTTGTGTAGCTCTGGGCAAATCATTTAACCTCTGTTTGCCTTAGTTTTATCATCTGTAAAATGGGGGTAATAATTGAACCTACCTACCAGGATTGTTGAGATGGTCAAATGAGGTAATATTTGTAAAGCACTTTGGATGGTGCCTGACACATAATAGGTGCTCTGTGAATCTTTATTATTTCCCCTCCCTCAATCAACTGCTCAATTAAGTACTTAGTAAGTGCCTATTTTATGTCAGGCAACTGTGCTAGGCACTGAGGATGCAAGTACAAAGAATGAAATAATCCTTCTTGAAATGAGCTTTCTTTGTAATTTGAGGTGGTGGTGGTAGTGGTGGAGGAAGACAAGCACATTTAAATACATATAGAACATAAATAATATAAAGTGAATAAATAAAAACATAAGCAGTTAAATGAAAGGTAATTTCAGAGGAAAGGCAATAGAAGTTGGTGTGGGAAAGACTTCATGAAGCAGAAGGTGCCTGAGATGCATCTTAATGGAAGCAAAGGACTGTATGAGGTGGAGGTCATGAATGAGTTTGTTCCAGGCATAGAGGTAGGAGATTTTGTGCTCTGTGTGAGGAATGGAGACCAGGCCAATTTGGCTGGATCACAGTGAGCAGAAGGGAGAAAAATGAGGCTGAAAAGATAGATTGGGGACAAATTCTTTAGGCCTTTAAAAACTAAACAAAGGAGGTTAAATTTTATTCTGGAGGCAATTGGAAGCTGCTGGACTTGGTTGAGTAGGTGATTCATATGGCCGGCTCTGCACTTAAGGAAATTTACTTTGGTGGTAGTGTGTATTTTGGATGAACTGAAGTGGTGAGATACTTGAGGCAGAGATACCCAATAGGCGGTTGTGAGAGGTGATGAGGGCCTGAACTAAGGTGGTAGCTATGAGATTAGAGAAAAGGGGTCACTTGTGTGAGATGGAAGATAGAAATACTCCTCCAAGTTTTATTATCCCTATTTTACAGATGAAGAAAAAAGATAAGTGACCTGTCTATGGTCACACAATTAGTAAATGGAAGGGACTGGACTTCAATCCAGGTCTCAACTTCAAGGTCAATGCTTTTCCCACTATACCATGCTGTATTTTGGTGTTTTATCCCTCATTAGACTGTTTGGTCTAGGTTGAACAGTGGTCTGCATACAGAAGATGATAAACGTTTGTTGAATGGATGAAGGAATGAATTTAGATGTGCTGAAGAGAATTAGGAAAACCTGGGTCTGGACTCTTCCTCAGATATTCATCAGCTGTGTGACCTTGGACAAATCACAAATTTTGTAAACCTCTGTTTCATTATCTGTAATATGGGGATAATAAGAACTCAGGATTGTTGTGATAATCAGACAATACGCTTTTTTCTCATGGTTCTCCCAACCACCTATCTGACCTCTTATTTTCCATTTCTTTTGCTCCTTCTTCATCCACATCGCACAATAACTGTGGGTGTATACACCAAGGCTGTGTTCTGGGCTCTCTTCTCTTTTCTCTCCATACTCCTTCACTTGGTGATTTAATCAATTTATATGGTCTCGATTATCACCTCTCTATCAATGGTGCCCCTACCTGTATCCAGTTCAGTATGTTGCCTAAATTTTACTCTTGCTTTTATCACCAGTCATGTATAGGCCGTAGAAGTGGACATTCCAGAGGAATATCAAATTCAGTAGGTCCAAAATGGAATTGGTTATCTTTTTTCTTCAAACATCTTTTGGACTTACCTGTTACTGCCCATGATACCATCATCCTACAGTCACTCAAATTTGACACATCAGAGTAATCATCAATTCCTTATTTGAACTCAATTCATGTATCTAATTAGCTGTCATATTCTGCTGTTTCCATCTCCACAACATCTCATATAAGTCACTCTCTCTCCACTCACACAGACACCACTCTAATTGATGTCCTTATCCCTTCTAATCTGAAATGGTAGAATAGCCTTCTAATTTGTCTCTCTGCTTCAAGGCTCTCCCCACTCTAATTTATACTGAATACAGCTGTCAAAGAAATTTTCCTAAGTCTTACCATGTCACCACCCCCTTACTCAATAAACTCAAGTGACTTCCTGTTATATCCAGGAATAGTAACATTAATAATAACAACAGTAATAATAGCTAGTGTTAATATAGCTCTTACTATGTGCCAGGCACTTTACAAATATCTGATTTGATCCTCACAACAACACTGTGCTGTTATCATCTCCATTTTACAGATAAGGAAAATGAGGCAAACTGGTTAAGTGACTTACCTAAGGTCATACAGATTTGAGTTTGAGTACAGATTTGTACTCAGGTCTGCCTTACTCTCATCCCAGAGCTGCAACCATTATGCCACCAAAGCGCCTAGCCTTAGTATATAAACTATTTAGCATGTAAATCTCTTCACATTCTGGCTCCATTCTATCTTTTCAGTCTTCTAAACACTCTAGACCTAGTTACCATTCCTTAATACTCCATCTACATCTCCACGTCTTTATTCTGCTTGTCCCTCATAATCAGAATGTTTCTCCTCTGCATCTTCTCTCTTAGAATCCTTGGTTTCTTTCAGGACTCATCTTTTGTATCACATTCTTCAGGAGACCTTTCTCCTTTCCCCAAGCTGTTAGGGCGTCCTTCTCTAAGGTTATCTTGGAGCTACTAAAATGATAATAATTGAAAAATTAGTTCAGTATTACTCATTAGAGCCTCACAATGATTTCATGAAGTAGGGTGCTATCATTACCCCCATTTTGCAGATTAAGAAACAGGCTGAGGGAGGTTAAATGACTTGCTAAGAGTCATAGTGTGTGAGGCTGGATTTGAATTCAGGTCTTCCTGATTCCAAGGCCAGAACTCTAATCACTACCCTGCCTAGCTGCCATCTAACTATCTGAGTATAAAATAAATTTACATATATTTTGGCTTCCCCCTCCCTATTTAAGCTACTTGAGGGCAGAGACAGCCTTTGCTTTTTCATTGTATCTCCTGTGCATAGCACAGTGCCCCCAGCACAAAGTTAGTGCTTAATAAATGCTTGTTGATTGATTAATTATGTATGTAAAGCATTTTGCCACATTAACATATTATGTAATTTCTATTATCGTTATCATCATCATCATCATCAAACATTTAAGTTATAGGGATCTTTGAGTCATTTCTGAACTTCCACATTTTTTTCCCTAGAGATTTCAGCATAACTGGTTATCAGCTGAATGAGTAAGATGAAAGGGTTTTCCCACATCCTCTGAAATTATAGAGGCTCTTTGCTCTTTAGTTTACCTGTGTGACTTTAAGCAAGTCACAATATTTGTGGGTTTCAGTTTTCTTATCTACAAATGAAAGTGTTGACCTACACAACTTCTAAGGTCCTTTTCAACTCAAATATATGTGATCATGCTGTAGCACCTTTCTTACCTTCATCTCTCCACTACGACTCTGTCCAGGCCTCACCTTAATTTTTTGTCAGTGCAAATCTCAACTAGCTCCGATGTTCAGGTTGGCAAGTCAAACATACGCACCCTTCCAAATCCGACAGGATGAATCTCTAGTAAAACAGGCCACTGGGCACAGGAATCAGCATAATCCCAGCTACATTATGCAGAACGCTAAGAAAAGAAAAAAGGGAGCGGACAGGTTTCCTTCAGGTGACCCCACCTGTACTTGTTCCATTATCCTGTACCAGGGTACCGATGTCTCTCTCTTTTTACCCCTCCCCCACTCCCGTTTAAAACCTCCCATTTCCAGCCTCTGCAATGACCCGGGTGTCCAGAAAGTGAGTGAGGGGCGCCTGCCAGTGGAGGCACCCCTAAGCTGGTGACAAGGGCTAACGAGCCGGGCATGCTCAGTGGACTGGGACAGGTGAAGGAGGCAGCTGAAGGTTGGGGGGGGGAGGCGGCACATGTGATGGGGGAGGGTGAGGAGACAGAGGTTGGAGGAAACTTCGGGAGGGCGTGTGACTGTCTCTAGGGTTCCACTGTGAAACATGCTCCAGGAGCCCGACAAGCTTAGTGTCCGCTGCTCATGAATATGCACGAGCCACCTCCCTGTGACGTCACGGGCCGTCCCAGGGTGAGCGCCAGAGCAGCTTCGGGTCCACGGCAGTGAGCTCTATTGCCAGCAACGGGAACGGAGTCCACTGAAGCTGGGGTTTGGTGGAGGAGCAGCGGCAGAGGCAGCAGCAGCTTCGGCGGTGTCCGGAGCGCAACCAGCCCAGTGAGGCCGGCCACCGGCTCTGCAGAGAACAGCTCCTTCTCCTGTACCAAGAACCGAGCTTGCTAGAAGCCTGTGTGGGCTGCAGCCGAGGAGGTGCGCTCGGTCGCTAGCCTCAAAGATGCTGCTGGGGATGCTATGGTGGGTGCCAGTCCTGCTCGCGCTGGGCGTGGGGAGCAGCAGCAGCAGTGGCAGCAGCCGCCGTCGCCGCCTGCTCGCGGCTAAAGGTGGGTGCAGAGGACGGCGGGGAAGTTTCATTCTCGCAACAGAGTGGGGCGATGTGAGTGGTGGGTGGGGGGTGCAGTCTGCAAAAAAGCAGGATCTTTTGGGTCCAAGCTGAGGGAAGCCAAGTGATCGAGGGCAGCCGTGATCTAGACAAGTGCAATAGCTTCGTTTTCCCTCTTTCTGCCCTCCCATCCTTTCTTTCTCCCCTTCCTTTCTTGGTTGTACACACACGCGCCCCACTCCCTGGCCGTTCCCCATCATCTTCGGCCTTTCCGGGTCGTTCCTTCCCCTAAAGTAACCTGCCCTTACAGCTCTCGAGCTAGCGGAGTCCTCAGAGACTCAGCCGGCTTCCTCCCGGCTCTGACCTATTTGGATGTGGGGGGAACATAGGGTAGGAAGTCAGGGAGGACAGAGCTCTAATGGGAGATGGAATGCAGCAAAAAAGCCGGTGAGACCAACTCAACTTGGATGCTCCGCCACTTCCCGCCCCTTGGGGGGAGGGGGGAATCTGGTTCTGTCCCAATACTGGAGCCTGGAGGATGGGGGAAGTGGGGGGAGTTACGGAGAAACCAAAAGTAACTGTAGTCTAGCAGCGGCTGGGGTTGGTGTGGTGGGTCTATCCAAAGCGAAGGTGAGACAGGTGTCCACTTCTTTTCTTTCGTTGAACGATCGATGAATGACTTAATATGCAATAGAAATGCAAAAATGCTGCCTCCACCTCAAAGGAGACGAAGGCAAAAAGTTTGAGGCATTGGTGTCTGAATGTCTGTGGAAGGTGTGATTTTCCTGAGGAAACACCTGACCTCTCTGAGCTAGTAAAAGTAGCCAACTAGTCTGATCCAAGCAGGTAAATGTCAAATAGGAATCTTTGCAATCTCCACCCCCCCACCCCCAAATCTCCTCCCTGAGAAATACGTTTGAAGGACCCAACTGTCCACCCCACCCTTTCTTAAGGTTGTAGCCACTGGCCCCCAATGGACGGAGTGGGATTGTAATACACGCTCCTCCATGCTCTAATAGCTGCCTCTAGGCGAGGCCTCAGAGCTCGAGAGGAAGGGAGTGGAAAGTTGGCAGGTTTGAAATAGTCGAGTTATGTGCTGGCCGCCCTGTGGCATGGATTGAGTAGGTGGGTGAGGGCTCTAGCAGTTCGGGGTGCCTCGGACTGGGTGAGAGAAGCAGCAGGGTGGAAAGCAGAGAGAGCTGCTCCAATGCAGCACGGGTATAACCTGTTGCTTCTCCAAGCTGTTGACAAGGCAGACTCACGATTAGGTTGGGGACTCATGAGAAACCAGGCACGGAGAAATTCTGGGAAAGAAGCCTGCTTTCAGAAAGGATTTGAGGTGTTCCACCGATCACGAAATCTTACTTTGCTATTTAAAAAGAGAAAGAAGGGAGGGGTGACAAGGACATGGTTGAGCATATCAAAAAACAAGGCATAATATCAAAGCAAACCCGCCTGAAGGTTGTCTGAACTAGAGCTAAAAGGGGTACAGAAGAAGTGAAAACCTCTGCTAATAATTAGTCTTAGGGGAGGTTGTACAAGAGCTGAAGAGTTAATGGCTCTGCCTCTCTCTCTCTCTCTCTCTCTCTCTCTCTCTCTCTCTCTCTCTCTCTCTCTCCTTTTCTTGTTTTAACAGATTGGCAGATTGGGAAAGTGCGATTAATTCCATTTATTCATTGTTATATAAGTTATATGTACATAGTTTTAAAATATTTTTAGGAAAAAAATAGTTTATTTCAAGGGTTCCTTGGCATGCTTAAGGTAGTTCTTCCTTTTTTTTTTTAAATGGGATTTGTAGTGCTTATAAAAATGTGTCCATATTGTTATTGATAATGTGTTACCAACCTGAAGAGAAATAGTTCTTTTCAGAATGCTAGATTTGGTGCCCTTGAAAAACAAAAAGTAAAGTGCTCCCTCCTTACAACACACTTGTTGGAACAGGTGAGTCAATATTTTCTGATCCTTTTCTGAACACTTTTTAAAATTCTAAATAATAAATTCACAAGCAGAAACTTAAAACTCAACCAGTGCTTACCATGTTTGTTGTGAAAGTAAGCCTTCAAATGGCTCAACAAAATTAATCCCAGCCAGTAACTTTGGAAAAGGATTGTGTGTTCAATACTCTTTTTTGTTTTGTTTGCATCTATGATGTTCAGTCCCAGTAGTCTGAACAGTTAAAAAAAAAAGTACAAGCTGAAACATGATAATGATGATAATGAAAGTTTTACTTCTTCAGGAATAGTTATATTGACTGATGGGGGAATCTTTATTTTGTATGTGTTTTGCAGTTTTAAAACAAAGACTTATTTTTCTTTAGGGACATAAGGAATTCTGTTAGTGAGTGGTTCAGAACAGGTGTCTGCTGAATTCTGTGTTTTTATATTCAGTTTCTTTTCCATTCAACCACTGGGTGGCTGCAAAGAGCATTTTTTTTTTTTTTTGCTGCAATAATTTTTTAGACAAATGTGTAATGGTTGATAAAAGCAGAGACATTTATTATGACATTTTAGTTGGTGTTTACAGGACTGTGTTTCCTTATTCTACTTTACATGTATTTTTGGATTTCCAGATCTCAACAATAGTTCAGACTAATATTTAAGATAATAAAGAAACATTTTCACTTATAATGCATCCTGCCTCTGATTTACCCATCTTTTTTTACTTTTGTATGATTAGCATCACTATTATTCCTGTCAATAAAATAGGAAAGGATTGAGCATTGTGTGCCAGGAAGATTGGGTTGGGGGAATTGCTTTCCTCCATCACACAATACCATACTGTATTCATCTGTAGGCACAGATTTGGAGCCTAGAGTCAAACTGGCTTACAAAGAGTTGAAAGCCTCTTTAGGACTGCAGTCTGGAAGCTCACCGCTCCCTGGTTTGAAGTCCTTGTAAGATGTCATGTCCTCTGTGCACAGTTTGTGCTGCTTTTGTGTTCTTTGCGTCTTGCTGTAGGGAGTAGAACAGATAATCCTTGACAAATGCTTTGAGTTTCACAAAATCACAATTCTCTCAGTGCCTTGCTACTCCAGACTTTTTAAAATAATATAGTACCAGAAAAGTTACCGTACCTTCAGCACACTCCTTCCCCCTCTCCTCCTCCTCACAGTATATTGACCATAAAATAATACTTGTATGTTCATATTGGAGCACTTGTAGAGTCTGTATTATATAATTTGTGGGCAATTATTTTGTGGGCAAAAATAAAGAGAGAGTGCTGGGTCCAAATGATTCCAGCACAAAGAATAGGTGAGTTTTACTCAAGTAGTAGAGAAAGGATGAATTAAAAGAAGACAATTAGCCTTCTTATAGGAATCAGTTGTCATATATCCTAAATTTGCAGAGGTCTCAGTAGTATGTATTGAAAATTCTTTTATATTCCAACTCATTTGACTCCTAACATCTTGAACATAAAGGTCATTCAGGACAATATTTATGATATCAATCATCGAGTCTTTGAAAGATTGCTGTGAGTCCAACCTAGTATTGGGTGCTATAGGTCATTCAAAGAAATATTATACAGTGTGTGAGTAGCTTATAGTCAGTCAAGGAGACAACATTTAAACATTTGTAACAACTAAAACACAATTTAATTAAGTGCTAAGTTATGTACTAGTGACTCCAAGCTAAGAGTAAAAAGAGATGATTGTGGTCAGGAGTAATTGGGAAAGGCTTCATGAAGTAGGTGGGACTTGAACTGGACCTTGGAGAATACATCAGATTTGAATAGGCAGAAAAGACGAGGGAGAAGATATTTGGGAATCATTACAGAGGAACAAGAAGCCTCAGGCATACTGTTCCCTGATTCTCAGACAGATATAATTCAGATAGAATACTGGGAAGGTTTCTTTTCTAATATAGTCCACTGAGCCTCATCTTGCGTTTTAGTGCTAGGAATTGTAAGCCTAAGTGCCAGGGGCTGTGGGAAGCACTGATAACTGTGTAAGGCTGAACTGTCTCTGTTGGAGCCAGACCTTATTAACTGCATTGCTACCTCCTTTAGTGATGATACTGCCCAAAGCAATGTGGGAATCCAGTATTGTTTAAAAGGGAAGGCAACAAGGTAAGTCTGCATCACTTTCATCTGAGCAAATCAAAACTTTTGTTGCCAGAAACAGCAGATTTTTTTTCCTCTCTCAGAAGCTCAAAGGATTTCTGTAAGTATTCAAAGAGTTAGCGCCTTAAGAATTTTGCTGAAGGGATGAAAATGGTTTGGAATTCTCTAGGAGAATTACCCAAAGTCAACTTTTTTTTTTCAAAACATGCATTTTAGGGTTGAGACAGTGAGATTTCAACAATACCTAAAAGGAAAAGGCACCTCCCCCCAAAAAACCTAGGTTTTTTTTCTGAAAGAATATCAGAATAATCATTTCTGATAGGTAGTTTGAGGCCCTGTTCCTAGTTCTAAGATGGCACAACAAAAAGGCACTGGCCCTAGAGTCAGAGATATCTGAGTTCAGATTTTACCTATGATAGTTACTATATAGCTCAGTGACCTTGGATAATTTGCTTGTCTCTCTGAACCTTTGGCACTTCAATAGGAGGCTTGCATAGAAAAATGAAAAGAGTACTGGATCCCAAGTCAGAGGCCTTGGGTTCAAATCTTACTTCTGTTATTGCCCTGTGTGGCCTAGGCAAAGTCATTTAGCCTCTGGATGCCTCAGTTTTCTTACCTATAAAATGAAGAGGGTTAGACCAGATGGCTTATAAGGTCCCTTCCAGCTTAGCTCTATGTTTCTATGATCCTAATTCTTTCACAAATAAAAATAAAAATCTCTCTTTCCTATCCCTGCCCCTGACCTGCCTCAGTCTACAAATTAGAAAGTCATTCTTTTCTGTTGAGACATTGAAGGCCTCTGTTAAAATATAAATTCATTTGGGAGAGAAACAAATTCCATGATCATCCTTTAACATTTTTCTACAACTTAGTTGTGGTCACATAAGATTTGGAGACTTTAATAGAAGGGAAAAGTAAGGAAAACACTGTGTATGCTAGCCA